GCATTATGTAAAGGTACAATTCCCAATGAGAAATGTAATTGTGTTGTATACCTACAATGTACCAATAAAAGAATTTAATACAAAAAAAAAGCTTTTTAAATCATAGCCTACATGTGCTTTAATTTTACTTTAAATAATTTTTTATTGTTTTACATAAAAACCAGTGCAGGTAACTACTTGCCATTTAATAGCCAACCCAAACAGTTCTGCACAGTAGAGCCTTCCTGAGATACAGTGTCAGGGTTAGGAATTGTTTTAAGGAGGTCTGGGCCACCAAGAAGTAGGCGATGCTGCTGGCCCAGTGTCTTCTGAATCAGAGGGTGTGCAGGCCTGGGCTGGGCTGCTTTTAAACATTAAGAAAAGCTCAGAAACTGCCTGAGACAAAGCCAAGGAAATGATGTGTTTTGCCAAGACATTTGATAGCTTTCTGAGCTACAGAAGATTGTTGAATGCTTCAATGGCAGACAGGTTTTTTTCTTTTTGTAACAGGAAAGCATACACACACACACACACACACACACACACACAGACACACACACATTTAGACACTTATAGACAGACATGTGTATATCATGTCAAGTATCCAAGCCTAGCATTTCACAAATGTATCTGAAAATACGCTGCAGACATTATAGGGATATAACCACAACAAGAGGAAGACAGGAACTTTCAGAAGTTCAAAAAACATCATTAAGGCTGAATTTCTAAACTTTAGATAAAAATAATGGTGGGCACAAGCAGGGAAGGTAACAGAAACAAGAATGGAGTGGGGAGATGAGATTAGCAAGTGTGTGAGTAACATTAGTAATGCACCCACAGATCACCACCGAGAAGAGGACCATGGCCATGTATTTATATGTAGGCCAGCAAGTCCCTAGGGCTGGAGACAAGAGGGCTGCATGGCCAATGGCAAAGATACTCAAAGTTGGAACTACGCAAAGAAAGGAGGTGGAGAGAAAGCATCGCAGCAGAGAAGACACACAGGAGGCGCAAGGAGAAAACAGCCCCGGCCTCAAGCCACCGCCAGGGCTCCCTGGGGGCCTCTGTGGCATCACGTGAAAACCTGAGAACCAGCTTCCTGTAAGGTCTCCACTGGCTCTGAACTTGACCATTCAACAGTGTGTGTAGGGGGTGCTGGAATGCTTTATTTTTTTCCGTTTTCTTTACTGTTTATTAGTACATGTTTGCAGTATATAATGATTACATTCGTTGTAGCGAGTTGGTACATGTACATAATGCATCTTAATTCTTTTTTTATCCCTTTCCCTTCTGCCTCCTTCCCCCCATCTCTTGGTCTTCTTCTCATTTGCAAAATATTTATTTCCATTTCCTATTATCTATCTTTTATTTTGCTCTTTATCTATAGTTTGCATTTCTCTTGTAAGAGAAACCACAGTATTTAAGCTCATGTGTCTGACTTATTTAACATTATGGTCCCAAAGTGTATGCATCAAATGAGTCTTTTTGAGGGATGTCTCACAAATTGATTTCTACTCTACCCATTTCATCCTTGGAAGAGAACATGAAAGACCAAGTTTTATTATTATTATAATTATTGTGGGTTTTGTTGTTGTTGGCAGTGCTGGGGTTGAACTCAGGGCCTCACATATGTTAGGCAAGTGCTCTACCACTGAACTCCATCCCCAGCCTCTATTGTAATTATTCATGGATCTTGATTATGCAGACTAATGGGCTTCACTGTGATATTTCCATACATTCACATATCGTTTTCGAGCATCACATAGGGTGTATGAGTGATCAAGGACATTAGTAAGTCTCAAAATAAGCAACCAAACTTGACAATAAGGCAGAGAGAGTCTGGAGGAGAAAACATCCAGGTTATTAGTGCACTGGCAGGGACTATTTCTGAAGACGTTCTGCAGGTAGAGCTCACTGTGTGCAGGGACACAACCGACTCTCGGTAGGAACTGGCCCCAAATGCTCACCTTCACATCCAACCTTAGACTAGGGGAAGAGTCCCCAGACTGACCACAGTGGCAGTAGCTGCAAGGGTTCCTCAAGGAAACTGGGCTGTCATCAGGGGGAGGGAAGAAAAGAGTCTGCATTGGCCAAGCGCTTGCATATGTACCAGTCTCTGTGTGAGGCTGCCCATTTTGTCATCTTCTTCAGTACTCATCACATTTTAATGGGGACAAGTTAATAACCTTTGAGTGAAAAAGCAACTGTAGGTATCTGTTCAAAATCAGAGTAGTGCCAAAATACCAATCCAGAAATATTTGATTCCAACAATTATGCCATTTGCAACAAACCAAGAAAATTCTTTGAAGAAGCCACAAGTTAATTCATTCTCATTCAACACATCTATTTTTGAAAAAATGATAAATCTCCAGAAACATTTCTTCAGAACAATGAAATGAGAAAATACTTCAAACTGAATGACAGTGAAAAAAGACATCAAAACTTAAGAGCTCCAGCTAAAGCAGGGCTCAGAGGAAAAGTTATAGTCCTAAAACACATGCATAAGAAAAGAAAACAGGATGAAAAATCAGTGATGTGAGCTTCCACCTCAAGAAACTAAGATACTCAGGAAACTTAGAAGATACTTTTATACTTCTAAAAATAAAGAGCAAAAACCAATTAAATGGGAAAAATCAACAAAGCTAAATGTTGGTTCTTTTAAAAAGCAATAAAATGGATAAATTCCAAGTAAGAGTAATCTAAGAAAAAAAGGAAGAAAACGTAAATGGCCAGTATCAAGAACAAATATATTTTAACAGCTGACTCTGCATGTAAGACATTGAACATGAGCAGGAAGAAGAGGAGGAGACAGTCTGTTTTGACACCATCTAGAAAAATCACATTCTAGATTGTATTGTGTTTAATTTAATCCAAAACACATTTGTTGGAGTAGAACATAAGATGCTGTCAGTTTGGTATTTTTGGTATTATATGCCTAGAAGGAGAGACCACATATACTTTGGAGCTGGACAGAGCTGAGTTCCAATCCAACTCCTGCCTTGATACTAAATATATGACTTTAGGCATAGGGACAGTACAAAAATAGATCAGGAGGCAAAGATGTTTTTTGGACTGTACTGTCTTCTGAAAAGTTTGAGCATTTTATTTTCTTCATTTGCCTGTTTTAATGAAAAAGTTTTGGTGTGGTCATTTTTCAACAGGAAGGATGTTACTAGCTGGACTAGGGATGTTGCTCAGTGGTACAGCACTTGCTTAGCATGCACGAGACCTTGGCTTTAATCCCTACCACTGCCAAAAAAAAAAAAGTTACCAATATATAAACAACATAAAAGCAAAACATGAAAAATTTAAAAAAATAATTTAATATAAAATTTTCATTCTAATTTTATACAATTTTTTTCTTTGAATTTTAGTAGAACACAAGGAAAACTATGCCGATAACATAAGTTATCTTAGTACTTTGAGAGACAAAGCTTCCATCTTTGGTGTTCACCTTACGACTGAGAACTCTCCCCCAAATCATCAGCTCTCCACAGGGGTGTTGCTGAGTCTTACATATCACAAGGGGTCCAAGATCCAACACAAATGTGACTCAGATCTTAGATGCACAAGATGAATGCTCAATATTTTTCACACATTGAACAAGCCTGGCAGGCCTAGGAGAGGAGAGCAAAAAGAGGAGATCAAGAAGTAGAACATTTATGGTTCTATTCAACAATGAGAGATGCCCATTCCTTAGCAACAAAAGTATGCAAAGACCAACGAGCATCCACACATGCTCCTTTCCCCATTATGCCAGGCATGGACAACTTCAAGTTGTGGCCAACTGTCTGATGAATAGCTGGTATTTTTCTCATTTGTAGGCTGTCTCCTCACTGGGTTTTTAGTTTACTTTGCTGTTCAGAAGCTTCTTAATTTGACAGGATCCCATTTGTTAATTCTTGATATTATTTCTTGTGCCACTGGGGTTCTGTTCAGGAAGTCTTTGCCTATACCTATGTTTTCAAGTGTTTTATCTATTTTATTTTCTAGAAGATTAAGTGTTTCTGTTTTAACATTTAGATCTTTGATCCATTTTGATTTTAGTTATCTAGAATAAATAAAGAACTCAAAAAAACTAGACCTCTCAAAATAAAAGACAATCGGGGGCCGGGGATTTAGCTCAGTGGTTTAGCTGCCTGCTGTACAAGCGCAAGGACCCGAGTTTGATCCCCAGTACCAAAAAAAAGAAAACAAAAACAAAAAACAAAGACAATCAAAAAATAGGCAGCTGAAATGAATAGGCACTTCTCAAAAGAAATACAAATGGACAATTAACACATGAAAAAAATGTTTAACATACTGGCCATTAGAGAAATGTAAATTAAAACTACACTGAGATACCATCTTATATCAGAAAGAATGGACATCATCAAAAAATCAAATAAAAAATGCTGCCAAGGGTGTGGGGATAAAGGAAATCTACACTGTTGGCAGAAATGTAAACTAGTGTAAACCACTGTGGAAATCCATGCGGAGATTCCTCAAAAAATTAAAAATAGTAATTCCATTTGATCCAGCTATCTCCCTTCTAGGTATCTTCCCAAAAGAGTTTAAAGTCATCATATTACATGAATACCTATGTTTATGGCAGCACAATTTATAATAGCTAGCTCTTGGAAACAGCATATATGTCCATCAACAGATGAATGGACAAAGAAAATGTATCTATGCATAATAGAGTGCTATTCTGCCATAAAGAAAGATAAACTTGGGACATTTGTAGACAAATGGGTGCAACTTGAGAACATGATGTTAGGTAAAATAATACATACAAGCTTAAATATTGCATTGTTTCTCTTATATGAGAAACTGTCTACCCATATATATACAAAAATGTGTATACACACTTCAGCAGTTCACTGTACTAATAAATGTCCGGAAGCTAATTGCTATCATTTTGAGCACCTCTTGTAATTGTAGAGACCAAGGGTAACTTGTACTAATCTCACAATGTCTCAATGACTTTAGTATTAAAATACTTGTACAAGTTTTCTTTTCTTGATATACACATTTTTTGGCAGACTTTGTATATATTCGTACCACAGTTCACAAACTTGATTCTTTCCACAATTCTGGTCACAAATTGAGTTGGATGAGAACTGAATCAAATTCAATGGTTAGGTTCAATGTCGATCTCATGGGGAAATTTGATTTGGTTCTCTTCCATAGAAGAATTAGAAAATAGATAAATCAGAAAGTAAGGAAAAGTTCAGAAAACTTCCCAAATTACCTATTCCGTCATTTAAAAAATATTTTAAAGATTTGGAGTTTTTTGTTTTGTTTTTGGTACTGGTGATCGAACTCGGGTCCTTGCGATTGTGCAGCAGGCAGCGAAACCACTGAGCTAAATCCCTGGCCCTAAAAAATATTTTAATATAAATGCTAATTTGTTTCATTTATACTACTCATTTCTTTTGTTCATTGAAAAGAAACTTTTGTCCTTTTATTTGTTTGCTTCTTCTTTGTAAGAAAGAGTTTTTGTTTTGTCTGAATTGCGCTCTGAGTATCACTTTGGTCACTCGTTTAAGATTATGATACACAGTACATTAACAACTGCTGTTCTCCAATTATTTTGTTATGAAATTTTGTTTTATTTTTTCATAGAATGTTTTAATACTTTATTAATATCTACTTGCATTACATTAAAATTAAATATTTAAAGAAAGTGTGGTCCAATTTAGTTTTGTTTCATTTGCAAAGCCATAGAAATAAGCACCAGGAAGGGGTGTCGGGTGGTAATAGGTGGAGGTGAAATGAATATCCGGTGCTGGCCATGTCAGCTGATGGCTGAGAACCCACAGAAGCACCCCCTGGGACCTAAGACACCCACAGTCCCTGATGATGATTTGCTTTCCTCTCTTCAGAAACTTCTGGAGGGATTGTTGGCTCAAAGGCCAAGAGGCAGCATAGGTGTGGTGGACCTTGCCGAAGGCATCTGGAAGCTATTGGCAGAGGACCACAGGTTTTTGTTTATTTGGTTTGGTTTTGGTTTTGCAGTACTAAGGATTGAAGCCAAAAACTTCGCACTGAGCTACATCCCCTGCCTATTTTTTAATTCCATTCTATTCTTCTCGACTCCACGTGACTGACTCATCTTCTGTTCTGTTCTATCATTCTATTCTATTCTATTCTATTTCATCCTATTCTATTTTGAAACAGACTCTCACTAAGTCACCCAGGCTAGGTTCCAACTTGCAACCTACTTCATCTTCCCAGAATGCCAGGTTTATAGGTGTGTACCTCGATGTTGGGCTACTTCACTTGTTTTGCATAGAATAAACTTGAGATAAGCATCCAACAGGTAAAAGACTATCCTTTCCATAAATATGAGATAAAAAGTCAAAGGGTCCAAAGAGAGCGGCTAGGGTGGGGTGGGTAGGAGGAGAAGTGTTCATTAAGTTGTAGTTAAATCTGATTTTGCTACATATGGGGAAGAGGAGACCCTTAAAGTAGTGACTTCTGGGAGGGAGAAGTGTCAGAACTGTCACGAACATGTCAGAACTGTGTCATGAACCATCTCAGGCTCATCTGAAGCCAACTGTCCTGACCAGTTGGGCACAGTGGCTGTAAGTGCAAAGTCATGCCATCTTACCAATATGGCAGCCTGGGATCCCCCACATGAGTACATTCCAGGCACAGAGAGTATCCTCTTCCTTAAGGAAATCTCGCTATGGAAAAGGAATCTGTCTAAGTCTTTCGAAGCTACTTGTGCCTCTATTAAATGAAGGGAATATGATTATGTTTAATTATAGTTTCTGATTTATTGGGACTTCCATTATAGAAAAGAAGCAACAATTATATTGGCAAGATGATTGCTCTCCATAAACATGTAAATATTCACATCCAATGTTCTAATAAAATGGACACACCTCTCATGCTGGGTAATATTTTGAGGGACAGACGCAGAGTGTATTTTGAAGTAATGGAGGAATTAGTGCAGTCCTTAACAAGGAATTTTTCCTTGTTGTTTGGGTGTCATTTTTTTTTTTTTTGGCATGCTACTAGGGGACACCAACCAGATAGCACATGCTATCATTTGCTGTTTTTATGGGAATCAAAAAAAAAAATTGGCAGAGGGACAGAGATCACCATCAAAGCCCAAGAGGGGTCCCCACAGCCCTCCCAGCTCAGAGAGGCCAGGGAAAGGCGCAATATCCACAGAGGGCACAAGCAGACAGCTGTTTCTTCAAGAAGAAAGCAATTACCTGTAGTTATTCTGGCAGGTAAATGTAATATTCCTTTTGTTTACAATCGATTCCAGTTCCCTGATGGAGGGACCTGAGCATGAGTCACTGGAGAAGAAAGAAGAAGTGTTAAAAATAACAAGATGTCTCAAACATTTCCTGAGTCTACTTAGATTCTTCATCAGGTGAGGCCCTGGGGAAAGCCCTGCTAAAAAGTCCACTTTTAAGAGCTTCCAGGTCAGCAGGGAGCTGAAGGTGTGGATCAGTTAGATGCCCGTTATGGAGGTAAACTTGAGAGGTCGTTGGCACGGGCTAAAAGTAGAGTAAAGCACCATCCTTCTCGTGAGCCAGAGACTGTTCTCTGAATTTGTTCCAGATGTCTTCTGAGTGGGGACTCTTGTGAGCTAACTCCTAAAACATATCCAGGGTCAGCAGGAACAAGACTTACCTGTAATTTCCCCTGATGTCATGCATCACCCAGGCCTGTAATGTATGAACCTTCCTTGGATCCAAACTAAAGAGTTCCACGCTTCCAAAAGTGCTAAAATAGAAGACACAAAGAGTATTCGCAACCCTGATGTTAGTTCAGGGACAACAGTGCCTCCTGTCAAAAGCCACCAGGCTGGACAACACTGGTTAGAACTACCCTTTGGAACTGACGCGTTTACTTTAGAAACTGTCACCTTTTCCCTTTCAATGCAACCCTGAATTAACAGATTTTCAAGATTTTTAACCTGCATATTACTGTTGAGTTTTTAAAATGCTTGTTATTTGTGGTGATTAATCTTGATCGTCAACTTGACCAGGTGGAGAGATGCCTCTGAGATCGGTGAAGCACACTTCCAGTGTGTGTGTGTGGGTCTCACAGGGTGTGAGCTCAGGGCTGTATGGGGTTCGTGGCCCTTTCTTCTGCTTTCTTGCCCCCCCCCCCTTCCTGGCTTCCATGGTTGAGCTGCTTTTCTCAGCCACATCCTCCCACCATGATGTTTTTGCCTTGAAGTCAGCCCACCATGGAAACCTTTGGAACTATGAGATAATCTAAACTTTTCTTTCCTTAAGTTGTTTTTCTCAAGTGTTTGGTCACAGCAGCAAAAATCTGACTAATACAGCGATTCACAGACTAATATACAAAGATCACCAGCAAGGTAGTTAGAACCATAAAGTCTCAGCCCACCACCACCTACTGAATTAGTCTGTGCCCAAACTGCCTCCAGGTGATTTCTGTGCTCAGCAAAGTCTGAGAAGCCCATTATCTGCCCTGACCTCATTTCTAAACTCTCCCCTTAGTCTTCCACAGCTGTCCCTCCTGTCACAAGCACTTAGATCTCTAACATCAGATTATAAAATTCTAGAATGCTAACACTCTCACCCAAAACCCCACAGAAGAAGGTCAGAAGAAGGCACAAGGCCCAATGTTTCTTTGTGAATTAAATATTAAATTCATAAAGGAGAAAGGGCACTTAACAGTGCCCAGGACAAATATATGCTCCCATCTCTCAGCCAATCGGGCCTATCAGGGAAAAATTAGAGGAAAAGGACAGTGGCAATCAATGTGAAAAAACTGTAAATATAGGAGGTTGGAGACGGAAGGCAAGAATGTGGCTGATTCTGTGGTGAGGAGAGGATTAGATGAGAGGATAATAGCTGATACTCATTGTGTAGTGTCTTTGTTAGGCAGAGCCTGCACTTTTCCTTAACATTATCTCAGTGATTATCTGGGTATCACTTTGTATCAGCCTCTTTGGGTTCATATAGTGGGGTTTGTAGAGGTTGGTGCCTGTCTAAGGCAACACAAATTATATGTGATGATGTCTGGAGTCCTCTTTTTTTCAATGCTGAGGGTTGGACTCAGAGCCTTCATAGTGAACTACATTCTCAGCTCTTTCCCTTCCTCCCTTCCTCTCTCTCTCTCTCTCTCTCTCTCTCTCTCTCTCTCTCTCTCTCTGTAGCCCAGGCTGGGCTCCAACTTGCAATCCTCCTGCCTCAGCCTCCCAAGGAGCTGGGATACCAGCCAGGCCTTGCTGGCAATGCCTACAAAGAGATGAGGAAGGTCAAGAGGCTAGCACAGTTTCAGATGTTCCCAATGGTACTTTTACACTGAATTGGGCTACAAACTCTTCTGAAAGGATAGAGGAGCCAGGCAAGTTATTCATGGATGGTGAGGACTGGGGACACCTTGGGAGAACAGTGTGAACACAGGTGGAGAATGGGACTGTGGGTGAGATGAAAGATAAAGCTGAGAAAATTATACCAGATCTGAAGCTGTGATCGTTGACTGCTGTACATCAACCTGACCTGACCAGGAATCACCTGGCAGATCAGTTAAGCCTTAGGTGTGTCTGTGAGTGGTTGACTCGCAGACCACAAACCAAGGTGGAAAGCTCACCCCGATGAGGATGAGGGCGGCACCAACAATAGGCTTGTAGCCTGGATGGGGCAAAAACAGGGAAAGAAGGAAGTCTCCACTCTTGCTTCAGAGGAGCTCCGTCTTCGCCATTGCCTCTGGACACTGTTATTGCTCTCCATTTCCTTCAGGCTTTCAACACAGACCTTTCAGCTTGCAAGCACAGGCTCACATCAGGACCTCTGCAATGAGCTTCCAGGGCTTCACTGGATCCTCTGACTGTCAGCACACAGGCGGCCATTTTGGATTCTTCCGCCTCTGATTCCACAGACGGCCACTGGGGCTCTTCACCTTCTGATCCTGCCACCCTACCAATAAGTCCCTTGTATACTTAGACATTATTTTACACTGACTCTGTTCCTCTATGAACCCTAAGTAATACAGAAGTCAAGAGCAATCCCTTGAAACAGTGTCACAGTCATTAGGAAAATTAGAGGATTTTTAAAGGAGAAAACAAATAAAAGCATTGACCCAGGATGACAAATTTTTCAGCATACAAAATTTTTTGCCTTTATAGCCCATGTCTTTATTACTGATGTGAAATATGAAAAGTATATGCTCTCGCTAGGGATGAAATATCCAACAGGAAACTATGAAAACCCTCGCAAATAAAATTCAAAGAAAGAAGTACCTGGATTTATGGAAGGGTTTACTGAGGGATCCATTGAGCATCACCTGGACCACACCACAGGCAGACTCTGCAAACTTAAGAGAAAAAAAATGCTCACCATTTCTCTGTAAGTGATCTTATTCACCATTCCCCTGCTGTTCCATCCCATGTGGTACTTAGTATCAGCTGGTCAAGGAGGGAATGTCCCCATGGAGTTAGTACAGGAATGCCAGGTCTGTAGAGCTTTTGTTCCAAGCCACTGGAGCAATTATGCTTCGAAAAATCAGAATCAAAATTGAAGCGGTTGCTCCAATCTCTAAGTGTTTGAACAGTGAAGTTCAATGTCATTGTTCACAGGTTGCTAAATTCAGTGAAGTCCAGAGGAGAAAGAGGAATGTCCTTAAAGGAGGAAAATGAAAGTGCCTTCCTAGCGTCACGCACAGTGGACACTGAATTTTATTCAGCAAACACAAGATGGACAATTTAGGGAAAGGGAAATGGAAACACTATGGGAAAGGAAACTCAGGAGAAAGAAGGTGACTGTGAGGCCTGAAAAGGCACTAAGAGAGGAGGAGAGTGAATGAATGAGTGAGTGAATACAACTGAGTAAGGAATTGTATTTCTCTATGCAACAGTCAGCTGAAATTTTTGCTAAGCCCTGGAAGAAACAAAATGAACAAAGCAAAGCAATCTACAGCTTCCTCCAGGAGATATACCAGCACCACTGGGTGACACTTGGGGCCCCTTCTCTGAACCCTAACAACCTCCCATGTCTCCTTCACGTTACCTAACTCCATGGCACTGTAATGATGAGCTCACACACTCTGGCTACCAGCACTGACAGCTTGAGGAGAACCCAGAGCCTGGTTCTCCTGGTTGGCTCCCCGGCCCTGAGCAGCTTGTCCCCAGTATATGTCATGGAGTGAGTGCCCAGTAAAAATCCAAGAAAGGAAAAGAGGGAGGAAAGAGAGTGGGGAAACAGGAAGCAAGAAGTCAGATAGATAACCTGTGGTTAAGAGCAGGGAAGAACAGGAAAATATATCGGAAGGCACAAAAGCCCTGTCCCAAAGGAAGAACACACTTTCACCAAGCATAGGCTGAGGCCGCAGTGAATGGAGGGCTAAGGAGCGAAGAATGTGGCAACTTCTGGAGGACCCTCAGCGGATGCTGAGGTTGGGTAGAAAAGTCAGCTCACGGACAGCCATGGGCGCCCTGCCGTGGCACACTGGACTCTGGGCTTTATTTTGCAGGTGATAGTGATGTATCTGATGGATTTCAAACTGACTTGTGAAACCCAGTGCTGCTATATGTTGCCACCAAGAGGGATGAGCAGAGACGAGGACAGAGGCCCATGGCTATGTCTAATCACAAGTATTGACCCAGGACAGTGCTTACGGGATGCCAGGCTCGGACCACACAGACAGGATTCTCAAGGTGTTGCCCTCGAGAGTCTCCCGGAGCTCAATACTGGGTCAACAGCCCTCAAGATCACACTACTCAGCGATAAGGACGGGGGATGATTCGAGTGACCGTGCAGCACCACCCCTCCTGTCAGAAGAAGTTTGTCTGTGCACAGCCTCAAACATCCGACAAAGGTAAAGGCGTGGGCACGCCGCCGGCTGACAGGCAGGTGCCTCCATCCGGAAGCCTTAGTGCGTAGAAAATCCACTCAGCTTTACAAATGTTTAGCAACAGCACTGGCCTAAAACATATTATAGAATGATGAAATAGAAACGGTTTTCAGAAAAAGCAAACAAAAGCTTTAAAAACTGCCTTTCTCTGACTTTTCACAGCACCGAGTAGGTCCTCACCAAATATTTGTTAAATGGACGAATTCTGAGTTATTTCTCAGGAGAGTGGCATTTTATTGAATGCACATTTAGAACTCTGTTTGACAAATGAGGAAGGCGAAGGTCAGGAAGGTTAAGCAATCTGACTCAATTGTTTTGGGGGAGTTTGTTGTTATTTGTCATACTGGGGATTAACCTCGGGGACTGGCACTGACCTGTATCCTCAGGCTTTAAAGTTTTTTTCCTTCTTCATTTTAGACAGGGACTTTCTAAGTCCCTAAGTTGCCCTGGCTGGGTTCACACTTGTAATCCTCCTGTCTCAGCCTGCCAGAGTGCTGGGATTACAAGTTTGTACACCGTACTCATCTGAATCTGCCCAGGTTTCAACTCGCAGCCTGTCTGATTTTCTCACCTTTTCCTGAGTCCCCTTCAGGTAGTTTAGTTTGGTACCAAAAGGGAGTTAAAGAAAATCAAACCTGCCATTTAAAAGACAAAACCAGTAAGTAGATTCAAAAAGCAAAATTGGGGCCAGGGATTTAGCTCAGTGGTTTTGCCGCCTGCTGCGCAAGCACAAGGACAAGAGTTCGATCCCCAGTACTAAAAAAAAAAAAAGCAAAATTGAAGAGCACAGCTTTGGAACCAGGTAGATGGAGGTCTGGCTCTTTCAGCTCTGCTACTTACAAGCCATTGACTGTGGCTGAGTCATTTAACCTAAGAATTTTAGCTTCTGCACCTGTAACATGGAGATTTGTTCCTTCCCACACTGCCTGTTGGGAGGACTAAATGGGAATGACTCAGAGAGGGCACCTCAAACAGAGAAGGTTGTCAAACAGGAAATACACCAACGATGATGCTGCAGCTTAGGTGTATCACTCATCCGCCTTCCCAGCTGCCCCAACTTGTAAGTTGGAAACTAAGACCCGATGTGGTAGTATTAGCAGGTGGGGCCTTTAGGAGGTGAGTAGACCATAAAGGCTCTACCTATGAATAGGACTGGTGCCCTTAACTACCGACCTAAGCCCTTTCACCCTCCTGCCTTCTGCCATGTGAGAACATAGCAGCAGGGCTCCATCTTGGAGTCAGAGAGCAGCCTTCTTTAGTCATCCAGTCTGCTGGCCCCTTGAACTCGGGCCTCCTTGCCTGGAGACTGCAAGAACTGCTTAAATCACCCACTTCCGGACAGTTCATCAGAGCAGCACAAATGGACTAACTCATGTTCACTCACACATACGATTTTCTACTTGCCCTACCCTCCTCAGGTACCTGAGCTTAATTTGAAGGCTTGTAATTAGTATATTTTTACTTCCACCCTCTTTTTCTTCTTTTCATATCTTTAATTCTTTTCATTCTTTTTTCCCCTAATCTACTTGCAAAATTTTCCTTTGGGGCTAGGGATTTAGCTCAGTGGTGCTGCCACTTGTCTCAGAAGCACAAGGCCCTGAGTTCGATCCCCAGTACCAAAAAAAAGAAGTTTTCCTTTGATCATTTCCAAAGAAGCAACTTACAAGAAAAGTAAACATGCACAGGCAGCTTCAAGTGAAAACAGATACAGGGTGAGGGCAGTGGTATTTCTGCACTCACATTCTGGTTCTGGGTTAGGTAAGCTGGGATAAACTCCCAGATCTAGCTGTGCACATTTAGCAGCTATTTAGTACCTATTTTTTTAGGTGTCAGAGTTGCACCTGTATTTTGGCATTTGTGAAAGGCATGACACCCATAGTAATAGTACTTACTTCATAGCATTCTTGTCGGGATGAAAGTGTTCAATTCATATAAAGAGCTGAACACATAGTAAATAACCTATAAATGTAGATTAGTAACACTGTTCAGTGAATCTAATCCATACCTGGATCAGGGGATTAAACCTGGCCCTAACTTCCTGGCAGCCACAACCAAAGTAATAGGTAAGAGCCACGATTCTCCAACTGGAGCCTGTAGCTCTCCCACAAGCATTCTGAAACTGTATGCAAAGATCTTCTGGCATGTGCTTCCAAACCTTCCCAGGAGAGAATCCTACAGTCTTTTCACTCCTGAATGATCTGTGATCCACTTACTGCATGTCATCTTTACGTTCTACGTCTCTGAATTCTAGACCTGTCCTGCCCATTGCTTACCTTCTGGGAAATCACTTTCCAGAACACTGAGCCAGTGTGATTGAGGCATTCATTCCAGCGTGGGCAAGACTGATAGTTCGGTTCTAAAAGACAGAAGAGAAAATAATTAAAGCTTGAAAGAGCTATCAGGGAGCCCCATTCCTCCCTGACTTTTCAGCCACAGTGGAGTCATTTTCCAACACCAAGACAGAGGCCAGAGAAGGGACATGACTCGGCTCCATTTAACTAATGAGCCCTGAACCCCTTCCTTCCTCCAGATCTCAGGCAGGAGCACAGTGACGGGTCTGAGTCGTCATTCTCGGAAAGGGCAGCAGAAGTTCACCCGGCAGAGACGAGCCCCGCCGCACACACCATCGCTGAGCCCAGGAAGAATCAGGGTAAAATTGGCAGAAAGCTGCTCTTTTTCTGCCCTGCTCTCGGCGCTGAGAGCCTCCTCTCTGCCTCCATTAGTCCTTGCACCCTTGGGCTCAGGCGGCCTCGTGGGCTTGCTACACTCCCTTCCATCAAGACAGGCTCAGCCCTCAATGGAGGGGGACCCAGCATCCACACAATCTCCGTGGCACTGCTCCCCAGGACACTGCAGGGCTTAGATCTAGATGGCCCCAAAAACCTTGTGCATTCCTAGGTAGGGCCTTGGGGAAGTGATGGATCATGGGGGTGATACTGATCATGGATTAGTCAGTCAGTCCACTGATGAGTTTAGAACTAAATGTGATGTTTAGCGATAAGGTGAACCCTGTGGGAGGAGGTGGGTCACTGGGCGCGTGGCCCAGAAGGGTCCACTTCCCTCCTTCCTCCCCTTGATCTGGATCCCCACCACCACTGCATTTCTAGCTGCCACGCCATGAGCAATTCTCCTCTGCCATGCTGCCCTGTCTCAGGGTCAGCCAAGTATGGAGGGGGAACCTCTACAGACTATGAGCCAAAATAGCATTTCCTCACTTAAGCTGTGGGTGTCAGGCATAGTGTCCCAGTGATGAGGAACGTGACTAAGGCAAACAGCTACCTCATTGCAAAGGCACGTAATCAACATACTGAGTGACGTGTAATGGGAACAGAGACATGACTTAGCTGAGAGCCCTGCCTTCAGAGAGCACATGATGTAGCGAAATCAAACAAGAGCAAGGGCCAGGGATTTAGCTCAGCGGCACTGTGCCTGCCTGGCAAGCATGAGGTCCTGAGTTCCATCCCTGGTACCAAAAAACCAAAACCAACAATAGGAAGGTCAGCTTGGCTTGGGAATTGTACAGCACCACCAAAGAAGCCTGGCGCTCTACTTTGTTTTGAGGGAAGAACTGGAGTCTTCAGACCAACCTCAGACATGTGACCATGCGAAGAGAGGCCTGCACTAATGAGCTCAGGTGCAGCCATCAGTTCACTAGAAAGAGAGGGGAGCTCCACGCAGACAGCATGTGTGGAAGCACAGAGCTGTGAGCCGGCCTGAGGGGTGTAGATCAGGACTTTCAGAGTGAGCAGGGGGCAGGAAGATAAGGTATATGAAAGACAGAGGCCAGGCCAGCCCAAACAATGTAGACAGTAGCCTACAGGCCAAGGAGAGCTTTGTAGGTTTCAGGAAGGAGGTGCTTACAATCTTCACTTTAGGAAGAACATGGTGGTCTTCAGGTGGAGGCTGAGCTAAAGGGGAAGGGCAAGCAGCAAGAATACTAAACAGTCATTGCAAGAAGGCAGGGTGTAAGAGTGCGCTGGACCCAGGCAGCAGGAATGGGACAGAAAGGACTAATTGCCAGGCAAACAGATTAGGTTAGTGAGCCATTGGATAGAAAGGGATAAGAAAAGGGAAAAAAATTACCATAAAAATGGTGACCACAAGAAGAAATAACTGTGCTATTAGCTTAAGTGTAGTAAGCAGTTCGCTATGTGCATGTGTATCAAAACATCACACTGTATACCTTAAATGTATTCCTTTTTCAATTTGGGGCCAATTTTAAAAAGAAAAAAATGACCCAAAGTTATATCCAAGAATTACGTGGCATAGAATGAAATAATAAATAAATAAAGGCCAAGGAGGCTATTCCTGAAGAAAGAAAGAGAAAAGAGGGAGAGAGACAAAGGAAGGGGAAAGGGGGAGAAACAATGAAGAGGGTAGAACCTGAGAATATCTCACCTCAACTAAACATTACCAAGTAGCACTATGGTTTCAATGTGGTTTTTCCTCACCAAAACCCATGTTGAGGTTTAATTTCACGGTGTAACTGTGGTGGATACTTTAAGAAGATTTGGGGATCATGAAGGATCTTCCCTAGAGAACGGATTGTGTTGTTTGTTTGAGATACTGGATTAGTTCTCTCTAGACTGAATTAGGTCTCATGGAACTGAACTGGTTCCCACAAAAGTGGGTTGTTATAAAACAAAATCTGCTTGCTCAGCTCTCTCCCTTCCTTCCTCTCTCACCTTGTGACCAAGCTCTTCTGCTTGTGCTACTTCTACTACTGCTCTTCCACAGAGTCCCACTGTGAGGCTACATGCAGCCCTGACTAGACACAGTCACTCAATTCCACCTCCAGAACTGTGAGACAGAATCCATCTCTTTTCTTTGTTGGGTACCCTGCCTCTGGTACTTTACAAAATGGACTAAGATGATCAGGTAGGACAGATAAGGTAGAGATCAGGTAGAGAAGCCCTTGAGCCCTTATGTACTCCCCAGAAGTCAGACAGTGTGGCAGCTGCCTCTTTCCTCTCTGGGTATTTGTACAGCTGACCCTAAAGAATTACCACCAGACTCCTTGCCCCCAAAAGTTATATTACTTCTACTTTATGGGTTGAAAAATGCCTCCCCACCAAGAGATGTTAAATCCTAACCATGACACTTGTGAATGTCACAGGAAACAGAATCTTCATAGATATAACCAGGTAAAAATGAGGCCATTAGGGTTGGTGGACCATCATCTGATATAATTCGTATCCTTAGAAGAGATGGAAATTCAGACACAGAGATGGACATTCGCAGAGCCAGGGTGAAGTGCACACATGGGGAGAATATGGCCATGTGATGACAGTGGCATGAGTTGGAGAAAGCCATGTACAAGCCAAGGAGCACCAAGAACTGGTGACCCTGTCTCCAAAACAAGCAAACCAAACAAAAACACAACTCAGGACCTAATGGCTTCACTGCTGCATTCTACCAAATATTTAAAGAACTAGAATCACTCTTTAAACTCTTCCAAAAATGGAAGAGGAAGAATATTTTCAAACTCTTTTGTCAAGGCCAGCATTGTCCTGATAGCATACCAGATAGGAATATTACAAGAAAAGAAAGTAAAAGGCCAATATCCACGATGAACACAGATGGAAAAGTCCACAACAGTACATTAGCAAACTGAATTCAACAACATATTAAAATGATAACCTTCATGATCAAGTGGGATTTGCCCTTGGGATGTAAGGATGGCTCAACATACACAACTCAATAGATGTGGCACATCACATTAACAGAAGGAAGGACAAAACCACGCAATCATCTCACTGGATACAAAAAAAGCATTTGATGCAATTCAGCATCCTTTTGGGATAAACATCTCACCAATTAGATATTGAAGGAATATATCTCAACACAATATCAACCAAAGAATTCCAAAGCTAATTTTATACTCAGTGGTGAAAAATCAACAGACTCTCTTCTAAGATCTGGAATAAGAGAAGGAGGTGCACTTTTGGCATTTTTATTCCACATAATATTGAAAGCCCCAGCCAGAACAATTAGGCAAAATAAATAAATAAAAGCATTCAAATTGGAAAGGAAAGGGGGCCAGGGATTTAGCTCAGTGGTTTTGCCACCTGCTGCACAAGCACAAGGACCCGAGTTTGATCCCCGGTACCAAAAAACAAAACAAAACAAAATTGGAAAGGAAAAGTGAAATTGTCATTGATTACTGATAACATAATTATATATACAGAAAATCCAAAAGATGTCACCAAAAACTGTTAGAACTAATCAATAAAATAAAGCTGCAGCATATAAAATCAACACTCAAAATTGGTAGTATTTCTATGCAGTAGCAACTATCTAAAAAAAAACCAAGAGAACAATTCCATTTAAAATGGCTACAACAAAATAAAATATTTAGTGATGATTTCAACCAAGGAGGTAAAACTATAAGATATTGATGAAATAAATTGAAGGCAGGGCCAGGGATTTAGCTCGGTGGTGCTGCAACCTGCCTCACAAGCGCAAGGTCCTGAGTTCGATCCCCAAGATACCAAAAAACAAAACAAAACTGAAGACAGAAATAAATGGAAAGATATCTTGTGTTAATGAATTAGAAGAACAAATGTTTTTAAAATGTCCTTACTACCCAGAGTGATCTATAAATTCAATGCAGTCCCTATCAAAATTCAAATATCATTTTTATAAAAATAGAATAAACAATTCTAAAGTTCATATAGAAACACAAAAGATCCCACATTGCCAAGGAAATTACTAACAACAGGACACATCTGGAGGCATAATACTGACTTCAAACTATACTACAAAGCAATAGTAATTAAAACAGCTTAATTTTGTGGAAAAATAGACATGCCAATCAATAAATAGCACAAAACATATGAATTCATGCATGTAAAGTCAATTGATTTCCAACAAGGGTGTCAAAAATACACAAAGTGAAAAAAGCCCTTCAATAAATCCTATTGAGGGGCTGGGGATTTAGCTCATCGGCATTGAGGCTGCCTTGCGGGTGCAAGGTCCTGAGTTTGATCCCAGGTACCTGAAAAAAAAAAAGTCCTATTGGGCACACTGAATGTCCACATGCAGAAGAATGAAATTAGACACTTACCTGGGAAAAATTACACAAAATTTGGGCAATGATGTTTTGGGTTTGACAAAAATAGACCAGTTGGATTATACCAAACTAAGTTTCTGCACAGCAAAATAATAATAATAATAATAATAATAATAATAATAATAATAATTAACAATGTAAAAGGACAACTTATGGATTGGGAGAAAATATTCAGAAGCCATATGTTTCATGAGGAGCTAATATCCAAAATATATAAGGAACTCAAACAATTCAAAGAGCAAAAAACCAAAACCCAATTAAAATGGGCAAGGGGCCTGAATAGATATTTTTCAAAAGAAGACATACAAATGGCCAACAGAGAGATAAAATAACTGCTCAAATCACTAATAATTAGGGCAATACAAATTTAAATCACAGTGGGATGTTATCTCATGTCTGTCAGAATGGCTATCATCAAGAAAATAAACCATAGCAAGAGTTGGTGAAGATATGGAGAAAGGGTAGCCCTTATACACTGTTGGTGGGAATGTAAATTAACACAGCCATTATAGAAAACTAAAAGTAGAATTACCATATGATTCAGCAATCCCACTTCTGGATATTCATCCAAAAGATTTGAAATCAGTTTGTCAAAGAGATGCCTCCTCACCCATGTTCACTGTGGTATAATACACAACAGCTAAGATGGGGAATCAAACTAAGTGTCCAGTAAGGGATAAAGATATACAGAAAACATATAAAAATACTACAGGTACTATTCAGCCTTAAAAAAAAGATAAGAAAATCCTCTCATTTGCAACAAATGGGATGGAACTGGAAAACTTTAGGCTAAAGGAAATAGGCCAGGGCCAGAAAGACAGGGTCCACCCACCTTCAATTAGATGTAAAATCTAAAACGACCAAGCTCACAGGAGCAGAGAGTAAAATGGTGGTTGCAGAGGCATGGAAAACAGACAAAGGGTGAAGGAAGGGTCAAAGAGGAAGTCAGAGGGTGTAAAATCTCATGAGACAGGAAGAATAAAGTTTCTTTTTAAAGATTTATTGCACAGTGTGGTGAATATGTTTAATAGCGTATTATACATTTCAAAACCGCTAGGAGCAAATTTCAAATGTTCTCACTACAAAAGATGATAAATATCTGAGGTGATGGCGATCTTAATTAGTTGCATTAAATATTGTACATTGTATTCATAAATCAACTGAGGTATGTGTTTAATATCAGAAACTGAAAGATAGCCAATAAAATAGGGGCAAAGGTGAAAATCTATAAAAATTGAGGCCAAGGAAGAAAACAGTAGACAAAATAAAACAACATATACAGGATTCAGTATAAAGCAAAAATAAAAACTCTTAAGATGTAAACAGATTAAAAAATAAATTATATCATATTCTCAATCTCCACTTCATTCCAAGAAAAATTAGAGTGGTGAATTGAAAAATAAAGCCACAGGTTAATTGTAAACAAATTTAAAAGCTAAAAAATATTAAATAAGTGACCTACAAAAGTTAAATTGTCTGAGGGAAATTTTTCAAAAGGAAAACAAGAAACCTGGTAAAAACAGTAAAACTTTATAGAGATAGATTTTGTTCACTTGGGAAGGAGGGAGAGGGGAGGGAAAGGGCATGGAAAAAATAAAGATGTGTTATGCACATGCGCCAACTCTCCACATTCACTGTGTCCTGCATGGCGCCCACAGAGAAAGCAAAATGCCAAAATTTAGAAACACTCAGAAAAGAGGGAACCAGAGAGCCAGGGTGACCCTAGGCTCCAAAGCAGCAGACCAGGGAATCATCTAGGTAACGCCCTTCCCATCGGCCCCAGTTGTCCTTCCCACCACAGATGGCATCAGGGTGGCAGCCTGTGGCTCCTCCTCCACACTGGCCCCTCAGGGCCCCGGCAGAGCTCCTTGGCCCTGTACACCCAGTCCATGCCGCATGGTTGAATCCTCACCCACAGAGCTGGGGTCTCCACACCACGTGAGGTCATCAGCAAGGTAGCCCAGCAGCGTGTCCTCCAGCGTGAACATCCCGCCCTGCACCCAGGAGTACTGATGGGCCAGCTCCTTGGACTTGCTCCAGAAAAGACTCTAAGAAAGAACAGACTCATCCCACTGCTGAAATCAACCTATCAGGTCAAAAAAATCCCCATTTTGTAAATGAAGAAAAACAAAGCTATCAGAGTAAATCACATATAGGAAGGGTGAAGACTGCTCTGTATGAAACAGTGAGAAAGAGCCTTGTGTGTGTGTGTGTGTGTGTGTGTGCACGCACACATGCACATGTCTGTGAGTGTGCATGTGTATTCTAGGTCACAGTGTAAAATGAATTTAGTGTTCTGTGTTACAGTCAAGAAACCCTGGAGGCCACTGGTCAAAATCTTATAGTTAACACGGGATAAAATCACATCTGGCAGAGGCATTAGGGACCTCCAATATTCCTAAAGTTGTCTGCATAAAGTTTTGCCTATATGCTATTTCCTGAAAGAAATATTCTTTGATTCCTAAAAAACTTCATAATCTCATCTACTTTCCCCAAATGTTCTCTAACTTCACCAAAAGAATAATAATCATACAGTGGGTAGTTTTCCAGCATTTCCCTCAAAGGTGTGCCCAGCCCCATTTCAGGATAACACTGCCTCAGGGATCTATCCATTCTTGGCCGGAAGCAGCAGAGGGCTGCGTCACAGCACAGGCCGGAAGTCCTGCTCCTGGCTGACCCAGCACCACTACTTAGCAGCTGTTTGACCCTGGGCAACTGAAGCATCTCTAACCCTCTCCTTCTGTGCTGTGAGTTGTAGGAATAGAGTCATGGGCTGCGGGGAGGTTAAGTGAGGTCATGCAAATAAATTGTTCTGCACCGTATCAGGGGGAGTTATTATTTGCCAAGCACTTTGTCTGCCTAGGGCATTGTGTTTGGAGCCCTGACAACTCCAGCTGACTAACAATGGGATGGGATGAGAGGCTGGGATTTGTGAATAGGTTTAAGGGCTTTGCAAAAACAACTGTCAATGCAAGGCAACTTGGTCTGTTATAAACACTGACTTTAGAAAAACTGCTCTCCGTGATATGCCTTTTCCCATATACCCGTGTATTTGAACCCATGCCTCTCTGCCTCCAAGTCTTGTTCTGTTTACATTTCAAGCCTGCCACACTTGAGCAATCACTACTGGTCCCCTAAACTCAACTTACACTGGCGAGATGGGAACGTTGACCAGTGGCTCCCTAGAAGATAACAGGAAATGCTCTGTATGTGTGTGTGTTGGGGGGGAGGTGGGGGAGGTGGTCTTTGCAAATGCAAATTGCCATTGTTACTATTTATTTATTTATTTATCAGGGCCAGGGGAAAGTTTTATAGTTATACAAAGTTGGGTTACTTTTGTTTCTCCACGTGGGAGGTGGGGGTGGTGTTAGGTTTGTTTTGCCCTATTTTGGGCCAATTCTCCTGTCTTCTTTCCCTGTCTCCTCCTTACCTTCCATCCCCACATGCCTGAAACCCTGATGATATCCTCGTTCCTCAGTGGCCCCAACAGCTCTAGCCCTAAAGACCCACACCCATATTATAATGCCTGTATTTTCCCTCTCCTCTCACCCTAATCCAAATTGGTTCCCATGTCCTCTTCCACTGGCTTTTAGTACCAGTCTCAAGATCAATAAGTTGACCCAGTTACCTTGTTGCAGGGTACGGTTTGATTGACCAAGTCAACTAAGGGTTGGTAGTCCTCTTTCATAATGTCGCAAGGGTTCTTTGAAATAAATGCACTTTTGAACGCATCCAGTATCTTTGGGCAGGCTTCGCTTCTGTGAGATAAAACATGGAAACTAAAATTAAATAGAGATAGATTTTTAAAATATTGAGCTGGGTGTGGTCGTGCATGCCTGTAATCCTAGCACTCAGGAGGCTGGGGCAGGAGGATCGCCTTGAGTTCAAGGCCAACCTAAACTACATAGCGAGACCCTGTCTCCAAAAAAAAAAAAAATCCCTAAAAAATTCTCAGGTAGCTCATCCATACCATCGCATTCAATATCTGCATCTCGTTTAATATCCGCTTTGTATACAGTGAGAATTGCTCTCCCGCCTCAGGCTGCGGTACAATGGCCTTCCCTAGTTTACAGTTGGCAAAGTGGTAGAGCCAAGACTGAGATCTGGGTCTGCTGAGGCCGGGGCTAGAGTTTAGTCATTAACACCCTATTATTGAAGAGCTTGGTAAAGTTGAGCAAAGCAAGGAAAGACGCTGGTTTCCTTTCTCACACCACACTCTATATAGAAACACTTAAGGATTCCTACTGCCTCCCTTGAACTCTCCCTGAATTTCCCACTCCTCGCGGACACGGCGTCCACACTGCCTGCAGAGTCCTGTGCAGCCTCACGCCCACGCGCCGCGGAGAGGTGGACCGGACCGGAAGTCTCTGCGTCTGTCCCTTGGAGGCCTCCGGAGCCCTGGCTCTGGAATGGGAGTCAAGAGTGTGAGGCCGCCCTGTGCAGGGCCTTCGAGGACGCCTTAGACGAGAGCTCATCTCCAAGCCCGCTTGCCTCGCTGTCCTCCAGGGCCCATCTGGCCCCCGGAGCTTTGCCGGCAGTTCTGCTGCTTCGCAGGGTGGGCAGCTGGACACAGGCCTGTTTTCCTAAAATAGGAGTCTTGAGGCTGAGGCGGGGTCCAGTTCACCCCTCTGTCTCTCGTATATTCGATTCAAGATAATGTTCTGAGTGAGTGTGTTGTGCCCAGATCACAAAGTCCCCAGAGACCACCAAGGAGCCGTTTCCGATGTAAACACACGAGGGTCGTTTATTCAAGCTCGAGCCGGGGCACTCAACCGTCACCGACGCACGGATCAGGATTGAGAGCCCCGAATTCCAAATCAGCAGGGTTTTTATTGTGGCTACCGCAAGGTTTGGGGATGTTCCATTTAGCAGTTACATGATTGGTTGATATTTAGCAAGCATGGGGGGTTGAGGGGTGGCTACATGTAGAGTTTATGGAAAAAGGAACAATCAGCACATTGACAGAATGTTCTATAGATAATGGGCCCGGGAGCATCTGTTTTCTGGGCAGACAGAGGATTGAGTTAGGAGCGGTGTCTCTTTTTTTATCTGTTGTCCCACAGCAAGGACATTTTATCATTAGTTTATGGGCACAAAGGAGACTAGGGGAATAGTTGACTTCAGTGAAGTGGAATTTATGTCAAGGCCACTTTACTGTCTTATATTTAAGATGGAGTCAAACTTTAAAATGGAGTTAGTTAGGTCTCACAAGTGGAGGGTTCCCCTGACTCGCGTAAGACTCCAAACAGATGTAGAATTTAAAGAGGGTGCCACCACCCTGTCGGGGTGATATCTCAGGGCACTCAAGAAATGTGCCTCTCTGAGAGAATCATTAAGCTATCTGGTCATATAATGAGTCACATCCCCTCGGCTTCCTGGCGGCTTGCATCCAGCCTCCTGAACCTTCTCCAGGCTCCTAAACAAGACCCATCCCCTTGGACCTCCCTCCCTGCAGGGAGCCATCTGCCTATTCTGCTCAACCTCAGTGTGTTCCCAGGGGTATAGGCAAGGGGACAGACAGCAATGAGCACCCTCCAGTGGGATGTTAAAGAATCAAAAGGCCCTCGCTGGCTAAGCTGGGCAGATGCCTTTGCCCTGTTATTTAAAAAGGCTTCACAGTGGGGTGGAGAAGTCTATCTGAAGCAGGTGGGGCCCGAGGCCTGATGCAGTATAGCCTGGTGCAAATGTCAGGATCCAAGGTCAGTGGCTCAGCTTCCTCTTGCTACAACTCTGCTCCTGCCGACAGGCCCCAGAACCCTTCCTTGTGCTGTCTCCCATGGGTGTTTCCTCTGAGTCACCTCCCACCCTTCCTCTGCCTCTGACCTACCCAAGGGAGCTGACTGGGGTACCCAGTGGGGAGGCAGCTCTGGAGGGAGGAAGGTGAACTCAAGAGCACCATGCTGTGCCAGGCACTAGCTGGGTGGGGAGTCCTTCCCTTGTCCCTGTATCAGAAGTAAAGAGACTGAAGCTCTGGTGCCTTAGACCTTGCCCAAAGCCAGCCAATAGTGTGTGGCAGAGCTGCCTTCCATTCCCAACTTTGCTCTTTTTACTAAACAGTGCTGCCTCCCCCGGGAAGTTTAAAATCATGGACAAAGTTGGTTCTAACACAAATGAAAATCAAGACTTTGAGGAGAGTTATTATGACCTGAGATCACAGGAGAGGTCCAAGACCTGAACAGGGTATAGTTATAATATTTACAGGAATAAAGTGAATGGGGCAGAAAAAGTTGAAATCTTATATAAAGATTGAAAAAAATAAACCAGGTACTATACAGTAAGACCCCAACTTACGACATTTGAGTTGTGTGCTTTCATAGGGCACTGTGTAAAATTTGCTTTGTCAGTTTAGGAATGAATCCAACTTAGGAACAATTCTCCAGGTGTAACTTTTTAGTAAGTCAGAGACCTACTGTACTTGGTGGTTAAATACAGTGATGAGCCCATTTTAGCTGCTATACCTCTGAGCCGTTACTCACCACTGTCTACATTTGCACCATTCCCAAAATAACAACCAATTTTCAAAGTCCCCATCAATAAAGCCAGGTCAACTTCCTAATACGCAGCTCTCATGGGAAGTTCTCACACCCTAAGTCTATTTACCTAGAAGCACTCAGACCTCAGGGATGATGATACAGACTCCATGCATGCCTTTCCCAGCTGAAAGTCCTGCAAGGCAGCCAGCTGTCTGTGCTCAAACAAACAAGTTAATTTAGCTGCTGAATTCTCAAATGAGGCTGCTGGAGCTGTACTCAAGGTAAAACCTGCCACCTTGTGGGAGAAGTGAGTAGTGCAATAAACTAAAGCAATTTTGGATTCTCTAAATAGGGCCTTAAAATCAGAAAAACTTTTCAGGCTGAAGAAACGCATAGAGACAATTAATTCACTAATCTTGAAAATAATAAACATATACACATGCTTGGTGCTTTATTGGCACAAAGGATATACCAGAAGACAGAACAAAGGCTCCTGTTCTGTGGGTTTACATTCCACTAGGGTAAAACTAACAATAAAAGATAAATATAGGAGCCGGGGATTGAGCTCAGTAGTTTCATCGCCTGCTGCACAAGCGCAAGGACCTGAGTTCGATCCCTGGTACCACACACAAAAAAATAATAATAAAGATAAATGTAATGAATATGTAAATTATAGAGTATTGTCAGAAATGTCTAAGCTCCATGTGAAAAGGAAAGAAATTTGAGTAGGATAGTGATGCCAGGAGAAAAGTGGGTTGGATCACGACGGTTTTTGCCACTTTGGAAAATTCTTCAAGCAATGAGTATGTCATCCAAGACACGATTCTTTCTTCAGGTGAGGAAGGGACAAAGGGAGCCAAACCTTTATGAAAAGCTAAGGGGGGCCCATTTGTTCCTGTTGGAAAGGCAGGTTTTGCAGCAAACGCTGCATATGGATTATGCAAGCTGGAGAGCTAGGCAAGTACTAAAGTGTGCATTCACCCACCCCCATGCTCACAGCAGCCCACGGCCTTGCTGTGGGACCGATGACCCTTAGAATAGCTATTCCATTCGTAGGGAATTGTGGGCAAAATGTTAACCTTAACAGAGAAGCTATCTTGGTCTTGTTGAAAGTGCTTGCTTTAGTTGGACATATCACATTGAAGTTACAAGTTTGTGTCCAGCGTAAATCATTTCAGTGGGTTCAGATTATAAAAGTCTTTTGAATAATGGTTTCTTTTCTTGCCATCTTGATTTACCTAGTGACCAAGTTAATACAGACTAGATCTCTCACTAGCTCATTCAAGGAGTCAAATTACATCAAAAGAAATATGTCACCCAGTTGCACTTGATACTGTTAAAATGTCCACCTTCTTAAACCCTTAAAACAAAATTAACTCTCCGGAAGGCAGTAGGCCATTCCTGATGTATTCCCAACTTGCTGCAGAATATCACATGCTTTGGGTACTATGTAGGAATCCTATTCACCCCAGTTCATTTAACTTTTATCTGTCTGCCTCAATGCACTGAGGTGAGAACAGTTTTTAAGACTGGTTTGCTCTTGAAAAACTTTTTTTAAAAAATTCATGAGAAATAACTTGCAAATCTTCCCACAATTGAAAGTGTGTTTGTGTGTGTGTGTGTGTGTGTGTGTGATTGTGTGTTCAAACCTGGAAAGCGTACAACAGAGCCGCACAGAAGCTGCTTTTATTTCAGAATCACACTTGGAAACAGGCAAATAACTTCATTGTGGATTATACTTTAGATATTTTATAAATAGAGTTTTATTTTTGCTGCTGTTGTATTAGAATAATTTGTAATCGTGTCATCATGAGCTGGAAATAGTTTTAGTATTAGTACAAAGATATATGAAGAACACTTTAAATATGTGCAATATGTTTATTTCCTCTGTAAAAGTGAAACAAATTACCTACAATGGAAGTGGTTAATGGTTTGCATGCAAGCTGGTTTGGTCAGACATTATACACAAGCTTTGATATACTACAGAATGCTCATAAACACTTGTAAACTTCTCTTGTCTAATCTGAACTTACATTCCATGGTGATAAAATGGTATATGTATTGTGTTATTAAAGTAAGCGAACACACACACACACACACACACACGGATGTCAGGAGTAATGGGGGGAAGGTGGCAATGTTCCACATTAAATAAGGTGGGGACAATAGGTGACATTGAGCAGGAATTAAAGGAAGTGCTGGGCTTAGCCATGCAAATACCCAAGGGAACAGCATCTGAGCAGAAGAACAGGCAGCACGAGGCCTAGTCTGGTCAGGAAACAGCA